TTAAGCAGGTGGAATATCTTTTATCTAATCTCAGAAATATCTTCTGACACATGAATAATTTGTACATAATGGCCATTTTGACTGGACCTAAATAAATAAAAGGGTGGTCTCTGACTTTTGCTCAGTACTGTATTTTGACAGATATGGCAGTCATACCAGTAATGAAATGGGGTGTGTGCTATTTGTTCACTCGTCTTTCAGTATAGATTATTTTATATTACATATTTCAGAGCTGAAGCATACAAATGGCTCTAATTTTCCTTGTTGCGTGTGTGATCTTGGTTGTGTTTGTGCTGTGTGTGAGCTGTGGGAGTATTCTGTGGGGGTACAGGTACATGGGCTCCCGGCAGCCCCCCCACCCCGCTCTTGCAGCCTCCCTCCTGCCTGCTGAGAAATTGCTCCTGACAGCTGATTTGTTGGTTGTCAGAAGTGGTCGCTGTGCGGCTGATAAGGGTGCGGAGGCCTGAGATGGAAAACTAACTGCTTCTCATGATTTCAAAGGCGGGCCCATCACGGCACAGCCCCGTAGACACATGTAAATGCCTCCCAGCAGAAAAGGGACGTTTTCCCCTGCGCTGGTTTTACTCTCGTGTGACTTCAGCTTGAGAATTGTTAATTTTGGGTGGAAGACACATGGAATACAGTCTTTCATTAAACTGTTTTTGAACTTATTTCATCCATCATTTTTGGGAGCATTTGGTTATTCCAGCAATGTCTGCATTCTTAGCGAGTGCCGTCGATTCCTTTTAACAGAGAACAAATAAAGAAGAAAGGGAAAAGTCAAGGCCATAAGGCAGGATAATCAGCCCCGGAGAGAGTGCGACTGGAGCTGCAGATAGGAAACAGTGACATCTTTTCTGATTAGCTGACGCAGCAGGCCGTCTCCGCAGTGTTTAAGGGTATAAAAGCAGTGGATGTGGAAATGGCCCCAGGCCGGCTGGGCCTCAGACAGGCAGATCTGTCAAACAGAGCGGGTGAGCGTGGAAGAGAGACACAGGGAGAGAGAGAAAGAGAGAGAGAGAGAGGGAGAGATATGGAGGCATCATAGAGCCTTTACCTCTGGCCCACATCCCCTGTCACCCCAAGGGCTTGCCAGGACAGGTGGAGCAAGAGGAGGAGGAGGGAACAGGACAAATCCAAGGGTTATATATCTGAGCCAGGAGTGCATAGTGGGACCCAATCCAGCCTCCAGCTGAGCGTCAGCCCCAGGCAGCAACAGGATGCCCTAATGGGCTCATACAGGAAGCCATCGCGAGAGGAGAGGTCACTGAGTAATTGGCTGCAAATTCCGCTCCAGCATCCGCCCATGAGAACGCAGGCCAGCAGCTCCAATAACTCACATTATCTTTGGGATGGCAGCTGTGGTTAGAGACACTACCTCACCCTGGGGGGAAGGTGGTGGGGTTAGGGGTGGGAGGGGGTCTATCTCATTCAAAGTGGAATTTGCACGAGCGACAAATTAAGGTAATGACCGTGAATCACCTTCTGGTCCAGACATACAATAACTGACCTCAATTAACCTTTGCTGTGCCCCAACATCACGGGCTTGTATAGTTACAGTGTGACTCATGGCATGGATACTGCTGCATAACTACAGTAGTCTTGCAAGCCAGAATTCTGATTATTGTCAGAGAGTCTGGGGGATATTGTTGCTCAACATGGTCACAAACTGCCTACTTTCAAAAAGGGCCCATTTGACTCACATGCAAACTGACCAATCATAGACCTCTGTTTTTGCTTGAAACATAGGAGCAAATAGTGCTACAACAAAAACACACACACATGAAACAAAGTGGTATGGTAGGATAATTGACAGGACGATAATTTATTTACTACTAACTCTTTTGAGGAAAAAACTCATTTGAAGACATGATGTATTTACTTTTTTAGATTTTATTTTTATTATAACTGAAACCTGTGCATAGAAGTGCGTTCAGTCAGCTACGTTGCTTGAGAATCAGAATGTCACTAAAAATTTAGATACTTGTGGCCATCCTGGAGTACAGTATACAGTGCAGTCTTAGGTCAAAACATTTGTTTAGAAGTATTTGTCTCAGCAGTAAGCATATTTTGCCAGTAAAAACACTATAAAGCATTCAAGTAAATACAAATAAACATAATGTTTTTAAAGAAGTTATTGATATCTGGGTTAGAAGAAACAGTTATAACAACGCAGTTTCTCAGTGCACTCCAGACATTGCATGGATTTTAAAATTCCATCATCAGCACTCTAATGTAATGTAATGTAATGAAGGATTCTTTACCTAAACTAAATATTGTATAGTAACTGTAAATATTGGGCTTACTGCCCAGATAAATGTCATCATGTATCGGTTTCAGGTGGCCTAAGACTTCCCCACAGTACGGTATATCAGACAGTCTGTGTACCTCTGTGGGCAGAGCGTCTAAGGCTAATACTAGGGCTACAGTGATTTCCTAACGCTTCCACAGTATGCTATTCACCTTTGGCAAATTTCAGTGTTTACCCTAAAGTAGACAGATTTGTAACGGGCTTGATGGTACTGGGTTATGAAGTCAAGGAGCACATACAGCAGTGAATGTTCTCCTCCCCAAACAAAGACCACTGTACTTATAATCACTCGGAGGTCATGTGGGGTCACAGCGAGGGCTGGCAGTTTGTTTATCTGTCGCTCTCTTATCGGCCCTCGCGCTCTTTTTATCTGCTTTTATCACAGCGGGCATGAAGAGGGCTCCGCTGCTTCCTCTTTCAGGCTCTCTGTCGACTACGCTGACCCGTTGACCCTCAGGGCTTATCTCTCACTTTCTTAAAAGCCCAGAAGCCGTGTCTGAATGCAGTGGGGTGCCAGAGTTGGGTTACCAGGCTCTTCTGCTTCTCTCAGCCTTCTCTTGCTTTGTCTCTGTTTGTTGAGAGCTTGTACTGATTAACCTACAAGAGAGGCTCTGCCTGAGCCAGAATGTAACTGATGGGCTTGTGGGTTTGTGTCTGGGTTAGTGTGTTTGTAACTGTGTGTTTGTTTGAAATATACAGTACTGAGCAAAATGTATTTGCTGATTTCCAGTCAAAATGGCCACTGGGCACAGGTTATTCAGTTTTCAGGAGAAATTTCTGAAGGGAGTAGATGTAAGAAAATCACTTCCATATGGAAGGGTGAGGTCAAAGGAAAAGAAGTGGGGAAAAAACACTTATTTCCAAAATCAGAGTTTCAAAAAATGATTGAAAGATGGAAAATGGGACTCCTAACAACCGTGCAAGACTTGATAGATCACCAAAACTGTCACCACCAGATAAACACTACTTCATCTTCAAATAGCATTCATCTATGAGAGATTCATTCATCTATCAAGCTCCAGTCTTACTTCAGATCAGAAAAAGTCTGCAGGTGCTTCTGTCCATTCTACCACTGTGAGAAGACAACTCAGAAGCAGAAAATGCAACCGACTTCTAAGACTGAACTTTGCACTGTTAGAAATAAATATACTGTGCAGGTACATTTCTCGTTCATCAAGGTACAAACAATGTAAATGTACCTTCGAAGGTACAACAGTGGTTTTAAGGTCCAATTATGCACCTTAAATATGTTTTTCCCATGTTCCCAGTACATTTTCAGAACCTAATGTTTTAAAACAGAACAATTAAATAAAAAGCCTGGAGACAAGACGGAGTGTGTGGCATCGACTTATAAAATATAATTTTAATGGATTATAGTACAATTGTGTTCCCTGACTAAAAGTACTGAGATCTGCCCTTGAGGGTCCCACCCCAGTGACAGTTACGTACCTTTTTTTCTGAGAGTGTGGAGGTGTGGAGAAATATCATATTTCTTTGGAAAACAACTGAACGCGTGTTTCCTTAAAAGAAATGATGCTGTAATAAAGACAAAGGGTGGACACACTAATACTGAGAATGTTAATATGTTATGTAGTTGTTGAGGCTTCTGTGTAATTTTCTGTTAAATATATGTCTCTTGCTTTTTTCCTTAACGCAGAAAAATGAAAATATGCACTTAATGGCAATTTTGCCTGGAAATCTTTGAGTTTTTTGCAGTTTTGTACTGTGTATTTGTCATTCCCTTATTTAGGAAGGAATTGGAAAAAAGAAAATCAAACGTGTTAAAATCCATTAATAAAACAAGAGAATGGCACTATACAGTTAATGCAGTTAATATACACTTTTTGTTGCTGTTGACAGACTGTCTATAATAGGTCTGAATTTGTATTTTTTTATATATGCAGTTGTACTTGTAAATAAAAATATATTGTGACATAGTTTATCACAATAACAGTAACATATCACCATATTGCCCCCTCATGTATGGGTTTGTGTATTTGTAACTGTATCTGTATCTGGGTTTTTGAATGGCCTGTATGAGTCCTATTCCAAGTTGTAGAGTTTTTCAGATGACTGGCTCACTCTCAATAGATTTGAAATCTCTTTTGTTATTCACTAGATCCATTTCTTACTCACCGGAATAGTGGGATTTGTGCCAGCATTTTCAATATGGTTGAAAAACTTCTTAGCTGAGACACTTAGGAGTATGGAAAATAGTGTGTCATGCATTGAAACACCAGCAAAGAAACACCAAATATTTAGTAATGGGATTCAGATGCAGGGCTGGCTCTATGAATCTCATTAAACAGGCTTTGAGCTTCCTCCCTCTCGGAGGAACAGACTCATAGCTATTTTAATAATGCCCAGGTCTTCATCACTTTAACAGCAAAAGAGCCCCTGCGCTGCACTAGATACATAATTTGCACGTCATTAGGAGCCAATAAAGTGTAGATTGCTGCATGACTCAATGACTCATTTATGTCTGCACCATGCAATATTAGCAATCAACAGATATTTGTTGCTTTTCCTGTTCATTTAACTGCTTCTGTGTTAGTTCACTTCAGTCATGTGCTTCTTTTTCTCTCTCTCTCTCTCTCTCTCTCTCTTTTTCTCCTCTCTTCCCATCTCTCCTTCCCTTTTTGTCTTTCTTCTTCCTGTTTCTCTTTTCTTTTTCTTTTCCTCTCTGCAGGATTTGGCTTTGTAACTTTCGAGAATGAGGATGTGGTGGAGAAAGTCTGTGAGATTCATTTTCACGAAATCAATAATAAAATGGTAAGTCAGTTTTCACCTCAATTTTTCAGTCCGGGGGCAGGATTAATATTTAATGGCAGAAGCCGAGGTGGTCCTTATAATGACCGGAGAGCAGCTGGGGTGGCCCAGAAGCAGGTGAAGCAGGGAGTCTTCCCCATTCACCGACATCCTGGGTGTGGGCCTTGCCATGTTATTGCTGTGCACTGGCCACAAAGCATGAAATTGTGTCTTGGAGCCCTGTCCAGCAGACTGGGCGAAGCAACCTGTCCGTGCCTTCAGTCGCAATTCCCTCAGCCAAGGAGGGCTGCAAGAGGAGCTGGCATTCATTTTGGGGGTCTTGTTAAAAGTGTATGATGGAAAGATTGTGAAGAGATTTAAAAATCATAGCCTTGGTGGTGCTAGCAGTGTGCTACCTGACACCCTGCTTACTGTTTTATACTTTCTACTGAATTTTTTATTCAATTTTTTCAATGTCTTGCCTGGGGTTTTTAGAACGAAGGTGCATGAGGGACAAGGTTGCGACCCTGAGGCTAAGACAGTAAGGACACTGTTTTGACTAGCAAAGCACTCCCTCGGCCTGCACTGTGTAGCATTAAATGCAGCACAAGGATAAGCACTTCTTTCCCGTTCCACTTTATCACCAACCAGCAGAATTGCTGATGAAGGCCAGCACAGAAGTCCTTCAAGTCTAAAGCACTTATGGGCCTCAGATATCGCTAGTCAAGTTTGTCATAGCAACTGACTTGCAGATGAAGTCTAAGAGCGCTAAGAAAAGGAACTATCGCTGGCTTTTGTTAAGCAATGCGTCTCGGCATTTCTGACGAAACAGGGTGACACATGGAAACTGGCCTGTTCTGGATACTGCCTGAAACTCCAACAGACATGCTACTAGCACGCTATTGATTTTTATATAATATTGCATCAAATGCTCTCATTGTTCAGGGAGCACCAAGCTCTTTTTTTGGGGGGGGAGGGTTCTTTCGATCTCTCTATGCAGGACACTGGCTGTCCATTGACTGCCAGCATTAAATTGGGCCATGGGGGGATTGCATGCATCGTTAGGACCAGTAGGGGAGGTTAAGGAGAAAAAGAATGTGGTTGGGGGAGGTAAGCCAAAAGATTCAACTGCTACGTCCATTATTGGCTTCCTTCCCCCTAAAAATGACAACTATGTTGTGTTCTTACTGTTCAGGTTTGACAATACTTGGTGAAGAATGGAAGATATGGAACGAATAATGTGGTCAAGGAGCTTTTTTTTTCTTTGGAAGCAATGCTGAAGCAGATCCCACTGTTTCTCTCTGTTTTTCTCTTTTCCTAGCAATATCAAATGCTGTCGTCGAGTTGCTTTTGCCAAAAAGATCAAAGTGGTCTCTGAAGCATCATCTGCTCATAAGCTCTGTGTGGATATTTGACTTGCTAATTCATCCATGGTAATATTGTTATTATGTTGAATATTTTGTAAAACGGCAGTAATGATCTCCCTCTGCTAGCGGAATCGCCAGCTCAATGCGTGCATTGCCTCGTTGGTCTGCAGCCATCTTCAGAAGCACCATCTGTGACCCTTTAGCCCTGGGCTTTGGGAGAGTGGAGGAGCTCTTTTTAGAGAGCCTCTGATGACCCAGAGAGGCCACTCAAAAGCTGCCAGGGCTCTGGAGGGCCTTAAATGGCTCTGAATGGTTCCAGGCCCTGGAAAAGATGGAGCATCCCAGACCCCAGTCCTGCTGATCACTTTGTTTGATATCTGGCCTGGATGCGCATGCCACTATTAAACATTCAAGAGATACCTCTTCTGCTCTGGATGCTAGAGCAGAAGAGGCCTTGACCTGCTCCAGTTAAGCCCTCTTCCCCCTTTCCTGTGTTTACTCTGACCTGGACGTAGGTGAGAGAGAATAAACAGACCAGAAAGTTCAACTGAGCCAGTGTATCATTTATCAATTCCTAAGCCCTTGGCTGGCAAACATGTGCCATAATTATATGCGATTTATTTCTTGCTTTGGAGCCCATTAAAGAAAGCAGAGAAATTCTGTCAAAAGTGAGGATGCTAACCTTTCAGTCCATACCATGTTTGCATTCCTAAGTAGAAGGGGAGTTAAGTTAGGGCTAAGTTAGGCTAAGAAAATATATATATTTTTGTCCCTGCTTGACATCAGAACAAACAGATAAATGTCACAAAAACAGGCTTGAAGTTGTCCATACTGAATGTAAATCTATAGTAAATGTGATTCATTCTATGAAATTATCTCTCACTTTGTAATTATGTATGTAGGTACATAATTACATTTGAATAGTATAGTAAAACATAAGGACGGTAAACATCTAAAGGCTACTGCACACCAGTCAAGAAGCGCTGTGCAGTGTCACAGAGTAGCTAAGACTTAGCACTGCCATAACATATAGGGAGTGTTGCAGTGACCGCACCATTAGGCAGTCTACATGTGTTGTCTTCTGGATGCGTCCAGTGTGTGTTAGTCTTCAGTTATAGTTTTGGTCATCGCTACGTCTGCTGCAACATGCCTACTCGCATCCTACAGTGGTGCTGTAGTGGAGCCTAGAGAGTAGTCTCTAGGGTGAGATTTCACTTTGAAGACTATGAAAAAACATTTCTAGTGATGCCTGATATACAAGGTGGGAGGAGCTTAGGGTAGTCAGAATGAGCTGTTTGAAAAATTGTGCGGGTTTTTTTACCCGAAAGCTGGTGAATGCAGAAGTAAGGCCCATAGCTAATGTTACTGCTGGGAAATTATCATAATTCTAGAGAGAAAGGATTACTCAAAAGACAGAGATAACCTGTCAGATGAGGAGGACAACAACATAAGGCCAAAAAAACAGAAGCCTGGAGAGGCCATGAGGTAGTTATAATTTTCTGGATTGTAAAGTTATCTTGAGATAACAAATTAACCATCTTGTAATCTCAAGACAACATAGTTGTTATCTTGAGATAAAGAGTTAACTATCTTGTGATCTCAAGATAACATTCCAGAAAATTATAGCAAAGCTCATGGGCTCTCAGGACTTCTGTAGCGGAGGGATACAATGCTATGTTACGAAATGCTGCATAACTTAACAAATAACATAGAAACTGTAGGTTTAACTTATTAACCTCCTTAGTTTTTGTTCATTAACCTTAGTGAATTATCCAGTTATTGTGATGCTAATACATAAGTTATGTAAGTTATAAAAGTGAGGACCTGAAGTCTGGACACACCAGAAGCTGTTAAAAGTTTAAGGAGCTAAAAATCACAGTTTGAATACTCAACAAAGCAACTCCTCAGACTATTTCACAAACACATTAAGTTACACGGTGGAACTAATTTGTGGTAAAAGGTTGCAGTGTTGTTTGCAATCATAGAGAAAACAGAGGTGGATGGGAGGCACTATGAGTAGAGCAGAATGAAATAGCCATTTTTTTCCTCCATCCTTCAGCAGCACATTCTATGCTCATAATATCCTCCGCTCTCAGCTTTGTGCTGAAGTGCATACTTCTCGTTCCACATATTTCCTCTGCAGTCACACATTCCTGGCACTCTTCTTGCTTTGTCCTTCTCCACTCTCCTGCTTTAGTGGCTGTCAGGAGGTTAACAGCATCAGCGCTGCCTGACTGGACTCGATGAGTGCTTCACCTGCTCTTATTCAGACAGCTGCAGAACAGCTGGGCGGCGGGGACACCGTCCCTGTGATGCATCTATTGGAAAATGCCGCCAGTGAGACGAGGCACTGGAGCTGAAGGAGAGGTTTCATGGCCAGTTATGTGACCACAGACCACCCCGTGTGAGTGTGTGTGCGCACTGTGGAGGGGGGGCGTTCAATAGCAGGCTAATTTTAGCCCAACCCCACAACTCAGGAAGTGTTATTTATAGTCTGATGGCTCTTTGACACCATGGAAGAAGTGACTGCATCCTGACCTGGAATAAACTGTCTTTCTGCGGGTCCTCATGGCCACATGATTATAGTATCCTCTCTCTGTCTCTGTCTCTGTCTCTGTCTCTGTCTCTCTCTCTCTCTCTCTCTCTCTCTCTCTCTCTCGCCTTGTGTTACCTCTTTCCCTTGTGTTGTTCCTCTCTCTCTTTCACTTTCTGCACTCTTTCTTTCTTTTTCTTTCTTTCTTTCTCTCTTCCTTCCTTCCTTGTTCTCTCTCTCTCTGTCTTGTTTTCTCTCTCTGACATTCTCCCCTTCCTCTCTCTCTCCCTCTCTTTGTAGAGTCTTTCCCTTTCTCATGTAGTCTGTTTCTCTCTACTCTATCTGTCTTTTTGTTCTCCCCATCTTTTTCTTTCCCTTGTGTTGTTCCTCTATCACTCTTTCCCTTTCTTTCTTTCTTTCTTTCTTTCTTTCTGTCTCTAATTCTCTCCCTTTCTCTCCCTCTTGCTGTTTTTTACTCTCATGCTCTTTTCCTCTCTCTCTCCTCTCTTACTCTCTATCTCTCTCTATCTCTCTCTTTCTCTCTCTTTCTCTCTGTGCTCTATGTGTCTCTTTTTCTCATGTTGTCTCTTTTTTCTTTTTCTCTTTCCTTTGTTGTTCCTCTTTCTCACTTTCTCTGCTCTCTTTTTTCTTTCTCTCTCTTTCTCGCTATCTGTTGTGTTCTCTCTTTTCCTCTCTCTTTTCTCTCACTCTTTCCTTTGTCTCTCTTTCTCACTATTTTTATGCTCTCTCATTTCCCCTCTCTTTCGTTCTTTATCTCTTTTTCCTCTCCCTGTGACTCTCATTCTCTTTCTCATTCTCTTTATCTCATCTTTGAGCATAGTCTTCACCGCTTTCATCTTTTCCCCTCTATAACTGGGCTTTACTAAGTAATCTACTGCTCAGTCAGTATCCCCCACTGTGTGGAAAGAGCAGTGCTGCCCCATAGCTTTTCCGTGCCTGTGCTGGTGAGATGTGAATTCTGTCCTCGTGTCCTCTCCACCGATGCCCTTACCTCCTGCGGCCAGTGTGGAGATTGCCGCTCTCATTTCTTCCGCTGCTTCCTCTCAGCTTGCCCCGGCCTCAGAGCCTGCCCGCTGTCTGCCTGCCTGCCGCGGCTCAGCCCA